CTCAGAGTACCTCTGCTGAACATTTAATTAGTTTTGTAAATTTAAACTTGAGAGAGAATAATAAAGCATGGAGAGAAACAAAAGTCTTTTTAAAAGCTGGTAGACTGACATTTCATTTAGAATACAAGTGCCGACCATAATTATTGATTAAACATTCCTCAAAACATGTATTTTGAAATTTCCAGAGCAATCCAATTATTTACCACTTGAAATAATTACTGATACAGTTTTTGGAGTTATCTAGTTTATATACTTTTCTGGTAAAGAATTTCATACTACTTCAAATGCCAAGAGCTGACAGGCCCTGGGGAAGAATGAGGAGCTTTCAGAAATGCCAATTAGATGTTATTTTAAGATACACATTCCAAGAAATCAATAACATTAGCAAACAGGCAACAGCGGACTATTTGCACGTTATGTTCTGCCATTAATGCTTGGCTGCCAAAGATGATCACATAGGAACAGGTTCCTTTGCAGAAAAAAATGCTTAGAAGCATATATGTTCTATGAAGAACAGATGCCCAAGTTTAGCACCAATATTCATCAAGCACATCAAAAAAAGGTATAAAAGAGACTCTTAATGACAAGGAAAGTAGTCATGATTTTGTGCTCTCAACACTGCTTTCTCATATATTAATTATTCCTGGTTAAGGGAGATCTACAAAATCTACCATATGCTGTGTTCCTTTGGGTTCATCTTGAGTTTCATGCTCCAACAATTGGTTAGGTTAAGTCTAGTGACAATGACAACTTCTTAAGTAAATCTTGTTTTAAATTTCATGCTGGAATTTAAAAACTAGATCCACTAGAAGAGGTCAGAGTTTTGGGGTTTCATTTCTGTTTTGTGTAACTGGTATTATTCCAACATCTAATGTAGTTGGCACTTAGTTTAAGTACTGAAAAATAGTTTTGAATTGGAGAATAAAGGATGCAAAGCCCCAATATGTTTAGGCCACTAAAATAAACCTCTCTTTAAGGAAATAACTTGGTCATAAAGACGTGGGTACTAAAATATGTCTTTGATTTCTTTTACAAAATTTTTCTCAAACTGAATCTTATCTGAATAGCAGATTGTTGCTGGGTGTGGTAGCCCACATCTGTAATCCTAGCACTCAGGAGGCTGAGGCAAGAGAGTTAAAGCCTAGCATGAGCATGGGTTACATAACCAGCTTCAGTCAGCCTGGACACATAGTGAGGATCTGTCTCAAAAAAGTATATATAGCAGGTTATTTGACCCAGAACTTTTTGCTTCAATCTCTATGTAACTTGTTCATACCACAGGCAATGAAATAGAGTGGAAATGTAAAAAATCTAAATCATTCACTGCAGAAAAGAAATAAAATCTCTCCTCTAACTCAGCACATAACTTAATCATATAACATCACTGAAACCAGAAACATTCTACCTTACAACTCCCTGCCATGCCCAGGGTTGTCTGAAACAAAACATGAAATCCTTGATTACCTCTCTTTACTTACTCATTCATGGCAATACCCGCTGTTCCCTCTACTGCCAGAGCTAATTTCTGAGGAATTCTGTAGAATTTGACAAGGATTTAAGAAACATTTGAGTTTGTTCACATCTAGGGGTGGAGACCTTCGTCTCTCAAATCCAGCCATCAATTCGGGTGTAACTTCCTCCCAAAGCCTTTCCCCACTCTAATTTGGCCAAGTTGTTCTCCTCTCTGTTCCCATAATACTGTGAGCTCTTCTCAGAGCCCTTGAGAGCTCTGAGTTCCCCAGAGAGGCAGAACTAATAGCATATGTATATTGATACAAGAGAGGGGATTTAGTAGGGGAATTGGTTCACGTGATTAGAGTGGCTGAAGAGCCCCACGATAACCCTTTCACAAGCTAGAGAACCTGGGATACCAGTAGCCTAGCTCAGTTCAAGTCCAAAGGCCTCAAGCCAGTAAAGCCAATGGTGTAAGTTCTAGTCTAAGGCTAAAAGTCTGACAACTCAGGGGAATGCTGGTGTTATGTCAAAAGCTGGAGAGCCTGGTGTTCTTAAGTTCAAGGAAGCAGAAAAAAAATGTGTATCCCAGTTCTTGGAGAAGACTCCACTGTATTTGTTCTCTCCAGGCCTCTGGCCAAGTGGATGGTGCTCACCCTCACTGAGAATGTGTCTTCCCCACCTACTCCACTCAGATACTCAAGCTAATTTCCTCTGGGAATATGCTGACAGACACACCCAAAAATAATGTTTTACCAAGCTTCTAGGTATTCCTTAATCCAGTTAAGTTGACACCTAAAATTAATCATCAAATTATATTGTAAATTTTCAGTGCCTAGCTGTTTCCCCTACTCAGCTCTAAGCTTCCTAACAGAACAAGTCTTATTCCTCCTTAGCATTTGTCATCATGGGTAGCACAGTACCTGTAATACAGTGGTGCCCAGTAAATGCTCACCAAACTCCCTGCTCCCTCTTTATGCTCTCCTGAATGGCTGAATAGTAAAAATGGAAAGTTGTTTCTAGAAAATGTCCTTCTGTACATTAATAGGCACTATTTGAAATCAATGGTTTGATATTTCATTTCACAGGAGATGTCATATCTGTGTTTAAAATTCTTATCCACAGTTTAATGATGGACCTGAGTTGTTCAGGACCTTGGTTCCAGGTTACTAAAACCAAAGTAGAACTAGCTTAAGCCAAATGAGAAATTTTTTTTTCTTTTGGTACTAGGGTTGCTCCCAGACCTTTTTTGTTTGTTTTGGTTTTGTTTTTGAAATTGGTTCTTGCTAACTTTGCCTAGGCTGGTCTTGAATTTATGACCCATCCCTCTCCATCTCCGAAGTAACTGGAATTATAGGCATATACCACCGTGTACCAAGCCTAGCTAATTTAATACATTTTTTTGGTGGTACTGGGGTTTGAACTCAGGTCCTCCGGCTTAATAGGCAGGTGCTCTACCACTTGAGCTACAACCTCAGCCCTAAATGAGGAATTTATTATACACATACCAGCATGTCTTAGAGCCCACAGATAGGAATGAGGCTAAACTTTGACAGTGCATGTAACCAGGACTCAGACTCAGGGAAATGCATTTCATCTCTGTTCTCCACTGACCAAGTGCTTGAAGCTTCTCTTTCTCTGCCAATTAATTTCTTTTGTTCTTCTTGTCCACATGAAGGAAAATGTAACTTTCATACTTTCAAAATGCACATTTTTATACCTCAGAAACCCAAAGAATTCTGATTTCAAGTCCCCAACTATCCTGGAATGACTCTAATTGGCCCAATTTTATTAAGCACCCACTTTAGGCCAACCAAGTAAAGCTGTAGGTGGAGATCAAAGATAGGACCAGGTTATTGGGTGGAAAGCCCAGTAAGTGTCTACTACACTTCCAAATACTTTAACTTCTAAGGAAAACAGATGATCCAAATGGACTATTTCAAAAGCATTAATAAGTAGTTTCTATAATATATAAACTTTTTCAAAATAATAATATTTAAATTTATTTCTATTTACAACTCATGAGCTAATAGAAAATTCCCAGGTGAAAATATGCTTGCTTTATTTAAAAATAAATTTATTTTATTACACAATAATGTTGACAGTTTACATAAACAGTCATTAGTATATGCAAAAATAATTATAAAACACACTTTGAAAAGTTATGCAAGTCATTGAAATTCTTTCTCAATATCAAAATTTCAAGAGACACCATCAAAATTTTAGGATCAAAACAAAATTCTCAAGCTTGAATTGGCATAAGAGATTTCATTGGCCATCCAATTTCAATCAAGTAAAGAAGAAACATTTACAGCATTTTTTTGTGTTTTTAAATGACTAGATGTTTCTTTCAACACCTTTTAGTATCAAAGAAGACTGAGAAGAAAGGACATGAATGAGCCAAAGGAGACTGTTGAAAATAAAGCACATACAACATGAGTCACTTGTATATAATCCTGTTTCAATGATGACCAATAAGTCTAAAGAAAAAAAATCGATTTTGAAAATTGTCAGTTGTTTGACTTAGCTCTTATTGCTAGGTGAGCTATTTCTGTATTATACAGAAGTATAACCCAGTCTCACTCAAAACACTGTGTATGCTGGAAGGAGGTATACAATTTCAGTTTCTGTCTGAAATCTCTGGTTCACTTTGGCCATGGAATCTACATTGTAGTGCAGAATTTACAATGATTCTGGAAAAGAAGGTGCTTGACTGAGACACAAAGTACAGCAAGTACAGCAGTTTAGGGATGTCTTCCATTGTTTTTTATAAGTGATTCACCTAGGCAATGTTGAAAGCTTCATATTCTGTGAAATATTGACTAAACACAGATTTCACTCTTTTAGGTGCTTACTAGATAAACCATGTACCTGAAGGAGTATTTGTCAATAAGTTTCAAGTAATAGATGCTATGGCCATGACTTCACTGCACTAAAATTCACCTGAGCCATACATGCTATGGTTTAGAGTAAAAACAACTGAGGATAAGGTCACAACCAGTGACACCCTGGGGTCTGCAGTGCTGGCATTAACATCATCTTCCAGTGCCATTTTTTATTTTCTTTTAAGTGTAAATACTTACCCCAGGCTTAAAGAATGTCAGGTACTTACTTTTACTCTATTCATTACCCTAACTTTGAGGCAAATCTGTTTGCTTTAGAAAAGTAAGAAGTTACTCTTGTCACTAAGACTTTACAAAAGTGCAAAGAAACATAATAAAAGTCACCTCCACAGAAAGCATGATGGTAACTCAACACTGACTGGGACTCTGCATTCTGTATTTCCTTAGGAAAATGGCTTACATATCTTGGAATTCTAGCAAAACACAGTTCTACAGGAAATCTTGGGTTTTATTATGGAGTTAAATTGTACAAACCCAAACTAATAAAAATGATACTTAATAGCACCATCTTTGAATCCTGGATAAATCTTTGTACTAATTCCAGCTCCACCAATTCCTAACTCTCTAGATCTAGGTTATATAACCAAATTTCTTTAGGCCTCTTTCTATATGTGGGAAATGAGGAACATATTATATATCTCAGTTTGTTGAAAGGATTAAATGAAATAATATATTTCAAACTCAGCATATGGTAAGCATGTGGAAATGTAGCTTTATTATTAATTCAGTTCCTAAGATCTAAATTCCTTCCCACTTCTTTATTTGACTAGTAACCTTAGTGACAAAACACAAGAGGAAATTTATTGAAATGTCTCCTCTTCTTATCATTGCTACCTAACCAAGTGGTTTTTCTCAATTACTAGACTGTAATAAAATTATTATTAAAAATAATAACACATACTAAAGTTACAAATAAAAACAAAAAGTAAATACAGTATTTAAGATTCATTTCTACTAGCTGTTTTCCTGAGACACATTCTGTCCATTTTCAAATGAGGAAGACATTTTGTAGCTTGCCACCAGCCTGGAGATACCCTCATAGCCTGTGAGAATAAAGAAAATCAAAGCAGCCATTTAAAAGAGATGTACTGGCCAATAACAAAGATGATAATAACAACAATAACAGTAATAATAAAGAATCTAGAGCCAGCATGTATGTTTTCAATTGATTAGTGTTGTCCTAGAAATAAATTAGGAGAGCATTATAATTTCTCAAACAAGCATTTACTACACTCAATTAAGAAGCTACTGGATGTTTGAGAAAAGAAGAGGTTTCTTTGTTTTAGTTTGGTTTGGTTTTGGGGAGTAGGGAGTTCAATTTTTTTTTTTTAAGACAGTGTCTTACTATGTAGTCTAGGCTGGCTTCAAACTCCCTATGTGGCCTAGGCTGGCCTTGAACTCATGGTCCTCTTGCTTCAGTCTCCTGAATCCTGGAATTATAGTTATGTTCCACCTTGTCCAGCTCAGAGAGTCTTTGTATGCAGAAAGAGTTAGGAAAAGTCATTGCTTTCTTATGCTGGATATGAACAAGGAAGCAGATGGCCCAATTGCTACTGCACTCTCTTATGACATAGAGGAACTAGAATTTGAAGCTAATTCTTTAGACATTGAGCAGAAAGACAGAAATAATCTGTTTTCCTTAGGTATGATTGTTTGGTTCTACCAAATGGGAAACTCTCATTCCCTCTGAGCCACCATTCACGTGAGCCAGTACATTGTTTTGATTTTAAGCCAGTTTGAGTTGGGTTTTATGTCATTACAACCAAAACTTTCTTGCCTGACTCTACTAGTTCTGCCTGGTATGTCCCACTTCAATCTTTCTCCAGGGGAAACCACTACAGATTACATCACTGGGGCTCCAATCCCATGGGTTTAGCAGAGAATATTTGAGGGTTTTTTTTTTTTAATCCCACTCTTTCTTCCTTCCATCTTTGTTCAGGTCCAGCAGCAGCTATTTCCACCATGACTACAGACTGGTGAGCTTCTCCAGAGCTTCTCAGAGTGCTAGAATAATACTCCAACATCACTGGGCATAAGAAGGGAAACAGCTCTTTGCCATTGTCAGACTCAGAGAGCCATGACATTCCTGGTGGGTTCCCTGAAACCTGCTCTCACAATCTCTCCATCAAAATCTCTTGGATCATCTAAGATTTGTGACTCCTGTAGGATCCTGATTGATAAAACATCTAAAGAGCTTAGAACAGTGCATAGAGTATATGGTGAGCACTCAGTAAGTGTAGTTGTTGTTACTAGAACATGGACCATTGCTATTGTTATTTCTTCTCAGTTTGATATGTCCAAATTAAAATACCTCTTTCTTATGCTCAGAAATGAGGGCAGAAAATATATAATAATCATTATGACCCACAGAATTAGAATGTCTATTTCTGTGATAACATGCAGAACAAAGTTATGACAGTCTTTTATTTAACCTTATGTTCTATGAAAAAAAATTTAACTTACTTTAGATGTTCATAAATATAATCATATTCCAAGCAATAATTACTAGTTAGAGGTAAGCCCCTTTTTACCACTTAAAGTCACCTGAATAGTTTCCCATCTATCAAGTTTATCACACTTACCATTAAGCAATATTAGTCTCTTGAATATCTTCATTTATAGGAGTTATGTCTTTACTCAGAGTTTCCATTTCTTCTTCCTTCTTTCTTTTTTTCCGATGTTTCCGTAGAGGACTTAGAAAAATATCATGTTAGTTATGAGCCTGTTAGTTCTTACTCAATAAGACAGCCAATGGTCTCATTTCTACACTGTTAAAATGCATAAATTCCTTTTTTCTTAAATATTTTGGGCTTTCTTCTAACTCATTTTTTTTCTAGATTCAAATGACAGCTATAATAGGCAACAGTGGAGGTGGAGGCTATTCACCTAAATAATAAGAATATGAAACCTGCTTGTAAATGGAGATTAGTTAACACACAAAAACTTTTCTGGGGAAGTCTTTTTACAAATTACAATGATTAGCATTATTTAGTTTATAAAGAAGAAACAGTAGAAATTAGAAACAGGCACAAGAAAACTGACAGTAATGGTAGCCTCTGGATATTAAGCTTGTTTTACATATTGGTTAAATATTCTAGACTGGAGTCCAGTTTCCTGAACAATGGATTTCAAAACTAATATAATAAAATAGGCCATTTCTCAGCTTTACTTAACTCATTCTCTTCTTCAAACCTAGCATTATAAATATTCATTTCTATCATAAAGTACATAAACTTAAAAATATTTTTTAATTTTATAACTAAAAAGAATCCTATAGATTAGCTGGTATAATACTTTTGTGTTTTACCAAAAGCATATAATTAATTTTCAAAAGCATTAAGAAATTTGTCTCAAGTCTCAAAGTTCATAACAGCAGAGCTGAGACAAAAATCAAAGACTGTCTATGCTCTAGTAGAGCAGGGATTTGAATGGAAGGTACTTCTTGTTTTGCCCAAGTCATATTCAGTCCACCAGACTTGTGTTCAGCACCTTTGTGAGGAGAAGAAGATGGCGTCAGAGAAGGGAAAGGCCCACTGTGGACTGGAAAGACCTGCAAGGACCTGGGTTTCATCAGAGGACAATCTGCCACCAGCTGATCTCTCCACCTGCACTAAACCTCAGGGTCCTTCAGCCCATCATGTCCCAATTGAAAGGCTGACATCAAGGAGTAGACTGGAGAAAATGCCTTCCCATCAAGTGACCTGTTTTCTCCTGCTCCATATACACTAACAGGAATGTAACAACCAGATGTATTTGAAAAACAGTTAATTGATTTTATAACAAAAACATGACAAGATAGCAATGGGAGATCCAGTCATCATAACTGAGCAACTAAACATTCACTTCCCTTCTCTAAGAGAAGCAGTGACAGCTTATATATTATAAGATAAGCAAATCAATGTAAAGTAAGTTGGTAGGCAGCATTTACACTAGGCACATATATCTATATTTTGCTTGTGTTCCAGTTTAGGTCATTTGTTTTCATCTTCAAGCAATTTATTTGATGAGCCATTGCACTGGCTTGATATATAGTGTAAAA